TACAAGGAAAACCGGTTTTTATTTCCACTTAATGTAAACTTTTTAAAGCTTTAACTAAATTGGAATCAGTATAGGTTGACTATTTCTCAATAAGCACCCCCTTGATTAAGCGCCTTCCTTCTGATAAGCTTTTTTCGCCAGAATTTTCAATAAGCGCTTAATTATTCTAAATGCGGAAAATTTCAGTTTCTTCTTCGTTTTCCAGTTGTGATCAATACGATAATTGTCTTGAAAATTCTTAAAATACAATGTCAAGCAGACGGATGACGATAGTCACTGATAAAATCTCTAAAACAGAGGAAGCGAAAAAAATCGATACTTTATTCTGCACACACTGTATACAACACCTGTACAAAGGCCGGACATAAGCGTGGTTTTATTTTTATGGGAAAACATAAAAAAGTTGTATGTTTGCCATCACGTTTGGGCTGTAATTAACCTTTCTTTTATAAAACTGAGATATTCGATGAAAAAGATCAAAGCAATTTTCTCTGGGGTTCAGTGTAATCCCTCTGCTACCTTACGAGGAGCGTGCAAGCAAAATGTAGAAAGCAGCTAAAATTTTCATTTTTCTCCCTTTTTTATTAAGACTTATTGAAATAAACCTTGACATTCGGAAAACTGGCAAATAAAAAATTCTTAAAGTTTTTGTTGCTAAGTGGTGTCATCTGTGAAGCATTGCATTGTTTCTGAAACAGTTTAATTGGCAGAAATTTACTGATATCCAAATATCCATTTACTGAAATCTCTTTTGTTGAATAAAAGAGTGCTTGCTCCACATTGAATTGAGACAGATAAACAGCGCACAAATACCTCTGACAAAGGAGAATTTGTTTAACAATCAAGAGCTTCTTCAGTTAGTGATCACTTTCTTAATTCTCATGACCCTAATATGTGATTCAGGGGTGATATTGTGAGGAGAAATTAGATGCCGGTCACTCTAATTCTAAGGGGTCAAAGGGTTAAAAAGAAAACATCAAGTTTAAATTAGTACTCAGGCAACTAATAGATATCTTTCTGAGAAATTTCTGACTTTTTTACTTTCAAATGCTTGTTCACGTTAAAACCAGTGATCGTTTTGTAAAGACATCCAAAGACATGACTCGAGAAAAAAAAAAAAATCACATGCACCTTGCTATCAATTAATTGATACTTCCGCTTTGCGAAGGCTGAGTCCATTTGACGCGAACACACACACCGATCAAGTTTACTAAGGGCACAGTTTGCTGTTATTAAGGATACGAATGGGTTAACGTGGAATTATCTAGTCTTTTAGACTGAAAAAAGATGACTTCTACTCGAGTTATTAGCCTATCAATACTGAATGGTCTTCTTGGTGTGTTTGGGACCGTGTTGAACACTACAGTGGTTTTCGTGATCTTCAAGAACAAAGACCTACGAAAGGGACTAAACCTGTTTATTTTAAGCCTATCATTGGCAGATCTTCTTAGCAACGTCCTAGCTCAGCCAATTTACATCTATCTACTCGCGCACGGCACGGAAAGCGATCTTCACAATTTGATAAAGGCGTTTCACTTTTTCGCCTTTGTTAGTCTGCACGCTTCCACCAACAATCTAGCCGCCATAACGCTGTATCGATTGAGAGCGCTCTCTCGCCTCTTCAGACATCTCATTCTCATATCTAGAAAGCAAACTTGGTGCGCTATCGTTACCGTTTGGTCAGCAGCAGTCACAATGGCGGTTTTTTTCGATATAGAGCCAGGAAAATCCGCCGCACCTTATATCCATCTCCTCGTCATTCTGGCGTGGATTGGAAGCTATGCAGGGATATACGGGCTTGTGCGCCAACACAAGCAAAGAATTTCCTCTAAAGAAGGAATGGTCTCATGCCCTTTTATGATGGCGAACTTGAAATACGAGAGCGAGGCAGCTAAAACATCGGCAATTCTTGTGGGGACGTCTGTTATCTGTTTCTTTCCCGATGTGGTATATGAACTGCTCGGAGTGGCTGAAAAAACCAGATTGCAGTGGGCTTACACTTTGCTTTTCGCCAACGCTGTAATAAATCCTTGTGTTTTTGTTTGCAGAAGTCAGCAGTTTAGAAGAGCGTTTCGCAAAACGTGCAGATGTGTATGAGATGGGCCATTAGGGAACAGTAGCCTTTCTTTACAAGAAAATCTCTGTTTAATTAATTCTTTCCGCAGAGGGCCGAAATAAAGTTTAAAAAAATTGATTCGTACCTCGAACACCGGTTGTCTCAAATATATGCAGATCTAACTTTTAGAATTCATGATAAAAATTAGACCGATTGCAGCTTCATTGGCAAAAAAGGTAATTAGAACATAAATTTCTGTATTTTTAATTGTAGCGAAAAAAAAGGTAGATTAAAAAAAACTTGTATTACACAATTTTTTCCTTTATAGGAATAGATTCTTTATTGTAGGTTGATCACTATTCGAAAATCGCAAGTAAATATTGTCAAAATAAGAAGCGAGTAAAAATTGAAGCGGTACTTGATTATATATGTTTTTTGTGAACCACTGGCCAACGGATGAGCCTAACTCGCTCACATATGGCCACGTGGAAGAAATTTTTCTTAGAACAAATTCACATCTATCTTCAATAAAGGCTGTGCAACATTAAACGCTACGATGATTTCTTTGATAAAAAGAGTTTCCGACATTTCAACAGCGAACTGTCAGGAATTAAAATACACGTCACGTTAAGATCGACTAAATATTCCTTGTGTAAATATTTAGCTTACCTGCTAACGTCACTTTAAATTAAATGCAATGAGTTGACGCACAGAATGGAACAAACTGAGAGCACCTTTTGTTAAAATTAGAATATAGATAAAAATAAATTGACGTTAAGGTGCCCCTCTTTCAGATATTTTTTTCAAAGAAAAAGAAGGACCAAAAAAAAACCGGTCGTCAAATCAAGGAAGATTATAATGCGTTTTCTGATACGTCACCTTTACTTGTTTTTTTTTTTTTCCCTAAGCGCTGATTGCCGCAACTGAATTCATTTGGGGTCACTGTTCTGTTCCCATCATGTGATTGGTTTGTTTTGGCTCATTTGAACCCAGTAACAAAAATGGCATTGTAAAAATCTTTTTTACTATAGTTTTCAAATGTGGGTCTGAAGCTATGGACAGCTCAGTGCAAGTGCCGGTCGACAGACTCGTCAGCATGGCACAGCCGGCGGGGTTACACTATAATTTTCACAAAGAAAGGAGTAAAAAAAATTGCCACTAATGTACACGTTTGAAATCCGAGGAAAAGTCACCGTAAGGACGGGGCATCGCGGGCTTGCTGAGTTTATTTAATCATTTAATTTATTAAAATTTATTGATGAACGGATACCCAGCTTATCTTTCGAAAGGCTTGGTCCTTTAGCGTCCCTTCCCTTTTTGGCGCGCTAAGTCTGGAAAGGAGTGTTTCTATGGGCGTCACGACGTCACGACTCACAAAAGAGCTAAAGCTCAACGGAGAAGATTTTATTTCTAAATAAGAGATGTACAAAATAGAATCGCAACCAGGGTCCAAAATGCTTAGCATCCCCTAACAAAGTTCGAAGTTGCATATTTGGAAACATGAGACAATACAAGTACTATTATGTAAGCGAATTGAAGTAAATGCAACCGAGGGTCGATGGTGATTCAGGATTGCATTGGTTTTGCTCTTCCTAATGCTGTGATTGATCTGAAGAGTTTTGCACGGCCATTAATCACCTGCTCTGCACCAATCAAATACAAGACCATTATCATGTGTTCACTGCCCTCATTGGCTCCCTGAGATCTCTAGTACGACTTGATTGACCGTCGTTCTTACTTTCATTTGCGTTTTAGAACATTCAATCGTTTAGCGCCTTACAGCTTTGGAACGGTTATCAGAATGCTTAAGAATATTGATACGTAAACTACATAAAATTATAATCTAGCGGCGTTGACTGATTATAAATAACTCTAAGTTATGTAAGGTCTTTGACTCTTCCTTCCGTTTTTGATAGAAGAGAGCGAAATCTTCAATCAATTTCTTTTTGGAACGATCATTTTTAAGCTTTAATTAATATTGTTGCAATATGTTTTAAAACAACTCGCATCTTGACCTGTCTTTTCTCATTAACTTTATATAAGCCTCAAACAAGCATATCAAACATCAAGGCGTTTCTTAGCAACGTACCAAGTCACTGCTTGAAAAGGTGCAATTCAGTTCCCCCCCTCCCCTCCCAGTAACCATCAAACTCCAATCAAAGCAATCCTTTTATTTCTTTATGTCTTTAACCCTTTAACCCCTGAGAGTGACCAGCATCTAATTTCTCCTGACAATATCACCCTTAAATCAAACATTAAGGTCATGAGAATAGAGGAAATGATCACCAACTAGAGCAGCTGTTGATTACTAAACAAATTCTCTTTATCAGCACCTTGGGAAATGTATAGTGAATAGTACGGAGAATATGGATACTGATGTTAGGGAATAAACGGTTCAGTAGGTCCTACATCTTTGACTATATCTTTTTTTTTTCCAAATAATTTAGGCGACTAAGAAGCGGCGAAAGAACGTAAATGTTTATCTTCAGGAGGCTGCTACTTCATTAAACATTTGAATAAAAATAAAAATAAAAGTACGATTTTTAAAATGTTCAGAGCAAACATATTGCAAACTATCACATGATTGGAGGGACTTAAAAACAAACCTGCCACTCTGTCTTAAATTCAGCAGCTGCAGCATACAGTAAATTGTTTAAGAGCCTTTTTGAATTATTGATTATCATTAATGTTCATATTTTATCCTTTTTTTCGGAGAATATAACAACTAAGAAATCGAAGATAGCTCAGTTTCTAAGGCTCAAAAAATTCTGAGTCGAAAATGAAGTATTCTGGGCGTAAGTTGGAATCGACACAGATGATATCTCAACATCAAGGCTTTTCTTTGCCTTTCTTCTTCTTCTTTTTTTCTCCCAAATCTTCGCGGAGGTCACTCTGTCCTCTGCAGCTCGTTCAAATTGAGGAACACGAGAAAAAAAAAAGGAGCAAGCTCCATGAATCAGGACAGACAAATGGATGCCTTTCATGATGTGCGTGCGACTGAGAGCTTGCATGAGCGACGCGTCTCAACCTTCAAACAAATGGTAGTTATTTTCCAAGAGATTATAAACAGTTGATATTCTCTTGTTATTTTCCTTATGCTTAAAACTTTTATCTTCTTTACACGGAAACGGGCGACCTTTTCTTTTTTCATCGTCATATATTTTCAGATTCTTTTGAGAAACCATTACATACCATCGGTTCGTTCAGGGAAAAAACTAAACAACGTGTTTTAGAAACCATTTTTTTTTTAAACAAATATTTACATATGATATTTTAAGAGGCTCGACGTGCTTTTCGCATTTTGCACAAATTAATAACGATGTGAAATTCCAGTCTAGGAAAAATTATTTTTGAGAATAGTTCGCTCTAATGAAATAAAGTTTATTTCCTCTTTCCATCAATTCTAAAATAGCTAAATCACTCAATTAATTTTTATTCTAACCATCTGAGTAACAAAGGCGTACTGATCAATTTAAAATAAAGTTTTCCATTTTCTATTTTAACAGTATTCTATAAATCGAACATTTAACACGACGACTGCTCAGGTAGACAGCTCATCACAAACAAAAAACTACCGTGATCAAACAGACGCTTTAGAGATTATTTCTGTCATTTCTTTCTGTCTCTTTTTTCCAGGGGAGTTATCACAGATACCTTCAACAGTTACAAGCAAAGCTTTCAGCTTAAGTGTTGTTACTAAATACAGAGCGTCGACTTATTTGCAAGGACCATTTGATAGAAGCTTCACAAACGATGCACTCCAGTTTACCGTTGAAAACCTTGCCACTGCCGAATGTCTCGCACCATCTTGGTAAGTACGGCCTGAAACTGGTGGCTGCGCCAAATGATTAAGCAAGGATTTAAAGATGAGCTCAGGAACAAAATGGTGAATCCCCAATCCATTCTGCTCTCGTCTGCGCGTCCCATGAAATCCAACACAATATCCGGGAAGAAACAAATCAGCGAGGAAGCTACTAAAATGGCCGAGGTTTTTACGGATTCGCTCTCATATTCGAGACTAGCAGTTTGCAACTGTGTTGTGGGTGAACCTTCCAATGCAACTATCTTCGCCCTATGCCTTTTAACCAAACAAAAGAGGCCGACATAGCCAGCAATCCACGCTAATGTCATTGCCAAATGAAAATACGCCGCGACAAGTTTGCCAGTATCAGTTGCGAAAAACACACCCACCAGAACCGACATTACCCAAACCAGGGTGACTGCGATTACAACTTGCTGCCTCGACAGAAAAAGATACGAAAAAGGGCGGGAAAGCGCTCTCATTCGGTGGATTGTCATGGCCAGTAGATTCATGGTGGAAGCGTGTAGAGTGATAACAGCGACCATCGTAAAGGTCTTCATAAACGTTAGGCTTGTCTCACCAAGGTTTAGAACAGCGTACACATATATCGGTTGCGAAATTGCACAGTTCATGAAGTCTGCTACACAAAGGCTCAAGATCAGAAGATTTAGCCCTTTCTGCAGGTTTCGATTGTTAACAATGACAAAAGCAACCACTAAATTCATGAAACTTCCAAATGCACTGAGTAAGGAATTGACAACCGCGAGTACAATAAGTTTTGCTTCCATCATCTTTCAAAGAAAGGGTAAAAAGTCCTCTGTGCCCAAAAATAATGTGGTTAAATGTTGATAACATGAGTTGTTGTCGTCTTGAAGCCACTGGAGAGGCATACAAGCCATTATCACGGTTATAACTGACAGTACAGAAAATTCATAATTGCAGTTTTTATAAATATTTCATTAGTCATAGAATGAAACGGATATTTAAATTCGGTTTTTATTATTCACCTGAACATAAGCACGCTTACTTTTCTTTGCAGTTGGACTATCTCTCATTGAATAAGGTAAGACGAAAAATTTACGATACAGATCTTCAAATTAGAATTTGACACTAGGTAAATTTTTGTAATCACAGGGGTAGGGATGTAATTTGTTAGTTGATTTATTTTTGACTCAGTTCCATGGGGATGGCGTGCATAGATGCAATGTTGTTGTCATGTATGCGATCTCCGAGTGACACACTGTCACCAGTTAAACAAATATGAATTATCGCACGTCGTTTTTGCTAGTCAGCTAAATTCAAATTAGCTCGAAAATTTCGCAGCTGCATTTGAGCACAGAAAAAATGTATTTGTTAAAGTCTTATCTGCTTCTGAGTTAAGTCTACACGCTCTTCAGAACACGATAATACGTTCTGTTCCTTCTTGTCAAGATATGTAAGCAGTCTTTTGATTAACCGCGCATTAAAAAAATGGCCTTCTTTTTTCGGTAAGACAAAAGAAAAATGATTGACAGATTTAAATCTTTGGTGCTTTTTTTTTTAAATGTTCGAAATTGGTGTACTACAAAGAGGCAGACGGCAAAAAAAATTGCTTTTAGTGAAGTAAATTACACGTTTGACGAACAGCTAAGTGGTTCATTTTCGACTCTAAAGTATTGCGAAGGCAAATTAATTAATTGCCGTCGCAAAAATGTTCATTACGCTTTTTGCAAAATTGCCTGCTTGGTTTTAGCAAAATTCTAAGAAGTTAAGGGGTACAAGGTGATCTTTTTGCCTTAACTTCTTTAAATCCATTTTTCTTTGTACCCCTGTCTATTCATGTTTCTACTGATAAGAAGACTGAAACATCCTGAATCGCTGCGTTTCCTGGCAACTCCATCAGGTAAAAGGGCTTCATCTGCATTCAAACGCGTCAATTCCCAGTCCCCATCTGCTTGTTATTCGAAGACGGTGGAAGACTGCATCGAGATAAGAAAACATTTCGAGAAACACTCGCTAGTGAAAAAAAAAACCAAAATAATCAAATCAGATGAATCCCGAGGAGCCAAAGAACATCCAGAGAAAAAACGTGCAACCTCTTTTTGATGACGAGTAATAGACCATTCTTCGATTAGGTGCCGCAAAACCAAAACCAAAGTTGTCACAAATACCAATCCGAAGAACGGAAAAAAACATTAAGAGCCAAGAAGAAAAACCGACTAAACTTCCTAAAGCGCGGGAAAACGCGAGTGTTTAAGGCGTGATCGGTTTGGCTTTGCATTTGGTTGGTTGAGAGAGAGGCGTAATCACATGGCGAAGTAAACCAAAACCAATATAATTTTCCGATTATTTCCTATACTCAATTGCAAATTTCTCTTAAGTCAGGACTTGATTGTTTTACCTTGGTCTGGTCACTATTGTGGCTCGGGATTTCCTGATTAATCACAGAACGAAACCAAATGCAACTCAAGACTTATTTACTTAGAGAACCCCTGGTATTCCTGTGGAAAGGAAGGTGAAACGGGCTAGGAGAGAAGATCACTGCCAGAAAAAAAGCCTCTATTTATTGATGAAGTGATAAGGTGAATCGTACTCGCATTTCGTATCGTTATTGTATTGACCAGCACCCAACTCATTACTCAGTAACTTCTCAGTGTAAATTTCTTTCATGTTTTTCTTTTAATAACCTGTCGCAATTATTCCAAACTGCGCGATAATATAATCAATCTGAAACCAGACCATCAGAAATGGAATGTGTTTCGGTAAATTCCTAAGTTGGCGCAAAGATTCTTACAGCTGAAATGGAACAAGAATCACTCCGCTTTTAGGCTTGGCTAAATCTATATATTACAACACAATTAATAAAATTACTATGGTAATGAAATTCAATCAATTTTCCATTTAGGAAAACAATTAAAAATAGTAATAGCCTGCAGAACGGGTTGTCGTTTTTTTTTTTTTGTTTTTTGTTTTTTTTGCATTTTATTGGCAAATGGAGGCAAGCAAGAGGCTGGAGTGAAGTGCAATTTTTTCATGAAGGGAGTAGTGTGAAAAAAAAATCCCCCCCCCTACCCCCCTCATTTTTAACTCCCACTTGCCACCATTAAAAAAAACTTTGTACAGATGTTAAAAAAAAAAAATGAGAATAACTAGTAAGAGAGGAAGAGTGACTTTACTATACATTATTAAGTTTCTGTCCAACTATAATCTTTTAATTCAATCAAGTTATAAAAAAAAACAGTTCCTCGTTTCATTTCAACCAGGGGCAAACTCCTTATCCTAGTTTCATATGAATGCTCAATGGAACCACTGCTATGACAAATCTTTTGCATATTTGGAGGTATTTGTTGAAGATTAAATGTGTTGAAGATTTCTTCAACAATAATTCAGGAAATCTTGAGCCTGTCAAACATTAAACAATCCAGCCCCAATGGCAGGGCTTTTGTGTCCAAGCTAAGAACAGAAACAAATCATTAATGTTACATAACCACATGACTAACAACGTTTCTATTATTCATACTTTTTTAAATTGTGTTTGTGATATCAAATTCAATGATGGAACAAAACTCTCAAGGACACCAAAATACTCCCGGTAGGAAAGGTTAGAAGAAGGTGCCCTGCTAAAACAGAAAACGATTTTATCTTTTACTTCCAATGGCTGTTTTCAAAATTCTCACTTGCATGTGCTTTACATTTCCTTATGAATCACTTTAAATGAGAGAATTTGTTTTCGTGGTCTTACATCAAGACTTTACCCTTCCAGGCGACAAGTATATCTTTTCTCTCCACATTTTTTTTTTGGAAGATGTCATGAAATTTTATTGAAGGCTAAAAATTATATCAAAATATGAGCTATTTGTTATGAAACCCATTTTTGTTTGCTATGGGCTCACCAGTCTTGTCCCTCCACTCAACCTTAAAAAACTAGTTTAAAGAAGCACTCACCTGACTTCTTGTAGCGTTGCATGAGAATGGACAGCCTCCATCAGGGAATTAAACACTGTCTCAGACAACACTTTGGGTGAACTCCTTTCTTCACCTGAAAGAAGACATTTAACACAAAAAGCATATAGAAGTGAAGTAATATGGTCCGTCTCATATTGTAATCACTTGTGATGTGGGCTGCAAACTGCTTTTGTTCTTCAAGTGATTAGGTCAACTAGTTATGGAACAAACTATGGAGTGCCATTCTCCACTGTGATTGATTTACACTTCATGTTTTAAGATAGGTTCAGACTAGCTGACTGGTTATTTCTCTTTGTTCTAGATACCTTACCATTATCCTTAAACAAAGGAAAGCACACACTAGACCAATCTGAATTGATTATAACCTGAAAACATTTAAAGTTAAAATATATCCATTTTGGACATTTTTAAAGTGTAAGGATTTTGACTGAAATTTATCCATTCTGAGTGGATGCCATTCTGAGTGATTCTGCTTAGGATTTTTTTTTAATTTTCAACTTCCCATAGCCATTCCTTTAAACCACATCCTTTGCCCACCACTAATGTCAAACTGGTGGCAAACTTAACCTGGCAAAGCTGTCATTACCATTGCCTCTACTATTCTTGCTTCAAAAAGCCCTGAGTGTATTGAATGTTCTTGAGATTGGAAACTTGATTTGGGAGTGAAAACAGTATAAACAGCTTAAAAGAACTCACAATGCTTTGATGCAAATAGAAATACCAGTATACCTATACCTTGTGGCATTTCTTCTGTCCCAGATACCACAGGACAACCGAGCCGCAGCTCTTTTAGCTTTGGTAGGAGTGAGAGTGCTGGAGCTACCAATCCAAAACCTGCATCAGAGAGCTTGTTGCCATGGAGATCCAAGTGTTCCAAATTTGGAAGATCTTTAAAAGCTGAGATTAGAAACCCCAAACCATGATCTGTGATGCAGTTGTTTGCAAGTGATAACCTTTCCAGATGAGGCACATGAGAGAGTGACTTTGTAAAAGCAATCAAATTACCATCAGTGATCATGTTTGACTGCAGGTTTACCTCTTGGACTGAGACCATTTCAGGTAGGAACCTTGCAAGTACTTGTAGAGCTTGCTTTCCTACTTGACTGTGCTCTATCAGTAGAGACTTCACTGTTTGGACATTCAACAGAAAAAAAACCAGAGCCCTAACTTTGTATGGGGTTGCATTTAAATGATGTAGTGCTGCCACACCTGGGGGCATTTGTGACCCCAGTTTATAGGCCAATTGTCCCTGGTTTGATTCATATAAGGCGAGAATACAAACTTCAAAGAACAACTGTGCAAGGCTTACATCTTCTTCAACCTCAGCAGCACCTTCCTGCAAAAGAAGCTCCAGCACAGGTGGAAAGGCATCTCCTAATAGCCCAGGTGTGAAAAGAAAGAGAACAGAATTTAATCCTGAGGACAGGCAGTTCATGATGTAAACACTGACAAAATCAAAGACAGATCTGTCTGTGAAAGCGTGCTTGATCTTGTTGCTCAACCACAGGGCTGCAAGAAATTCTTGATAGGATCTGTGTGAAAACCGACACTTCTCAACGGGTTTAAGCCTTGAAGCTCCCAACTCCTTTGATAGGAAACCAATGTCTAAAACACCTTTGTAGGTGCACTTTCTCTCAAGTTCCTGTACGTCAAAAAGTAACTGATCATTCAGCAATCCATTGAGTGAAATTTCCCCCAGTGATAAAAGGCTCTGGAATAGATCATCTGGAATATCTTCTAGGGTGGAGATATCACCAGGATCAATGCTGTTCTGACCAGATTGTCTAGCATAATATCTCTTCACAAGCAAAAGAGTGAGTTCAGTGAAAAGAGTTGTCATTGATGAAAGCAGAGCTGCTTGAGGCATCTCCTCCCACATTGCACAGATGAGCATTGCTGTAAGAGGAATTCTGGCAATGTTCTCAGCAACAGGATGCATTTCAAGTTGTGCTATCAAACTCTCAGCCATTGGTACATCATCTTGAAAGTACTTGAGAACAAATTCATGAATGTTCTCACTTGTGAAACCAGTGATCTCAATACGAGAATCCATGAACCAGTGTACACGGGCACCTTTACCTGGCCGTGACGTCACAATGACAGTACAATTTCTGAATATCTTGCCCATGATGAGATCTTCAATATCCTTCAGTTGTACAGGATTGACTTCATCATAACCATCTAAAATTAAAAGAACATCTTCTTGGTTGGCAGAGATATACTGGAAGAGATAATCAGCAGAGTAAGGGAAATCTCTTGGAAAGAGAAACTCAAAAAGGTCACTCTTCAGATTTCCTTTCATCTGCTTCAGTTCCATAAAAAGGATAAGCTTGAATTGCTGTAAATTGGGATTTCCACAAGCCCAGTCGTACACTATCAGTGACAAAAACGTACTCTTTCCCACACCAGCTTGTCCTTCAATAAGGATACGTTTTTGCTTGGTGAAAGGTGAGCGCTGTTGAAAGACCTCAACATACGAGTTCAAGGGCTCCTTTTTAATGGTTCTCCCTTGATGAGTCTCTGTGATCATCTGGAGATTGGTATAGATGTGTTTGATGTGAATATGAAATGACTTATTCCATGCAAGAGGCTGTAGCCATCCAATCACATTCTTGTATAGGTCACATAAAGATTCTTGAAATGTATTCAATGGAGATGAAACTTTTCTTTCACTGGCTTGATCTGCAAATGATATCAAAATCAATTATACATTACACAAACACTATTTTAATTCTAGATGACTGTGTTCTGTCAATATTGTATCAAAAAAGCTACCACTGAATCAGTAAAATCTCAGATGTTCCTATATGCTAATTAAAGTTCAAGATATGAATAAATCCAGGTCGAATTTTTGGACCACAGCCAGAGAAATACCATGAGCCATGCCACCCAAAGTATGAAAAAGGAAAGGTTCTCTATATTCTAAGGAGGCTTACAGAATGCATTTAAATTGTTGATACATTTCCATGGAGATCATGTACAGTATTCTGAAAAAGCGTAATTCATGACGATGTGAGAATTTAACTGGGGGAAGGAGCGTATTAAAGCAAACTGCGGTTGATATCAATACCTCCTTAAAGGAGAATCCATCAATTTCATAAGTTTTATAATTTTGTGGTGAATTGAAGCTACATAAATGTATCGATCCTAAAAACTCCTACCCAATAGGTCATCTCTCAGTTCCAGGCGATTGATTCCACATAAGATGGCGGCCAGAAATTCCTTGTTCTCCGCATTTAGCAAGTTTCTGTTTTCAAGTTCATCAAACAACTCTAGTGGCCTTTTAAGTCTCTCCAAAACTCCGACAGGAATGTGCTGCTTGCACATAAACTTCAACTCAACGAATTCTCGATCAGTGATTCCATTTGAGATAGACAACAGCTTAACACGAAAGGGATCCATGACTTTCGCTGCTGTTCAGTTTTCCATTTTATCGTCCGTAAAGCGTTATGAGGGTAGCATTTCAATCATTGTTGTTTTCGCAGCACTAAGAATTAAGAACTTATACAAGCCATTATGTAGCTGAATCAGTGTCCTTCTTGTCCGTGTAATTGTGGAATGCGGAGTAAAAGTAGCTTTTTAGGAGAGACTGGGATAGTTTTCAACAAGTGTCCAAGTGGAGAGGGGTAATACGGATTGAACGTGACTTCAAAGAAAAAACCTCTCAAATTTATGCCAGAAATTTTAAGAAATCGTCTCATGGACAAAATATTATTTTATTCAACACAATAAAAAATTATCTGCAAGATATATAAACTACAGTTTACTTCTTAAAAAAGATTCAATACGTAGTAGAGAGGGGTGATGAGAAAATTAGTTCTAAGTAGATTCCAGTATGGGATAGTAGGTGCGTTTTTAGCCGATTTCAACATGGCGGCTTCGAAGAGAGTGATTCGCTCATTGTGGCACTTTATATCTAGGATAGATCCCTTAAGACATAGACTTTTGTTTATGAATAGAATAAAAAGTACCAGATACTTCAATACAAGTGTTAATCGTCCCTCCAAAGGGGCCAACTTTCCAGTTCGAAGCGATTGTATGTTGCCCGAAAAATGTTTTGAGGGCAAGATTGCATTCGTTACCGGTGGAGGAACAGGTCTGGGGAAGGGAATGGTGAAAATGTTATCTGAACGAGGTGCGACTGTCATCATATCTAGCAGGTGCTAATACAAGTTTTTCTTTTAGATGAATATTTGTAGAAAAATTCCTTAAGAATCAATAAATGTATTATTTCATGATAATAATGAATGAAAAATTGATTTTAATTAATGTTAAGATGAATGTTCGTTATTCTTTTTTTTAATTATTATAATATCTGATATGTAAATGCTGTAGATTTCTGGAGACTAGAGTTAAGTTCTCAATATTGCCTGGTACTCACAAAATTTTTAGGTTAGTTTGAATACTTTGAAATAAAAAATTAATTGCCACCTAGGTAAGTGCAATTATTGATACATGAGAAATTTCCTTATTTTCTGGATTTGCGAACTAGAAATAGGTCAAGATGTGCATTTTACAGGATTAATGAAAAATAGGATTTTATAAAATGACCTGATATACTGTCATCTGACAGATTATTACAGAAATTTTAGGTACTGTGCTCAGTTCTCTGCAGTAGCAAACAAATTTTTTGTGGTCATTATTGTGGTGAACTGAGTATTTGATAATGATTATTATGATAGTATGATTAGCAATTGATTGAAACCAGAGAGTAACAGTTCATCCTGTGGTGTTATCATGCAGGTGAGAGTAGACCTGGAAAGGACAGTTGTTGACTGAAGTTTTGACATTGTGAGTGCAAGTGATTCATAGAGTGAAGAGAGGACTCTGATGAATACTTCTACTTAGGTTACTGAAATGTCAATCACTCTCCCAGACAACATTCCTTTCCAGGGCTACTCTCACATGGATGATCAGAGGACACAGTCAGTTAATTATATTGTGTTATATTCATTGAAAAATAGGAAGCTTGAAGTTCTTGAAAAGACAGCTGAGGAAATATCTAGTGAAACTGGAAACAAAGTAAGTCCTCGTTAAAGGAAAGAATATGACCATTTTCACCATTGCATGGTGATAATAGACTTAGATTATTGGTTTTCTGATCACTGCTCACTTTAATTGGTCTCAAAAATATGTTCAGTCCTCTTGATGAATCTTTATTTTTACATGCTTTGGTCTGAGTTCTTCCTGGCTCTGTGTGATGTTACCTTTTTCTGAATAATTGTTGTTATTGCTTAGATTTTGAGAAACTCTCAATTGAAGAGCACTCCTGAGTGAGTATAGTCCATGTGCCAAACCATGTTCAACACAGTCAGTTTTCATTTTCTGTGAAGAATCCCCTTAGAGTATTTCCACATCCAACAGCAAATTATCAATCAAATAACCCTTTCACTCTGAGGAGGGATCAAAGATGAATTTCTCCTTAAACACTAGTACATTTTCAAGCAGAAAGGTGATGAGAAGAAAGAATCAACCATGGGAAATAATTGTTTTATTGAACACTTAATTTTTATCACTCAAATTATATGAAATGTATGGCAGGCAGGGCTGAGAATTGGTTCCTTGATATTGGGATTGCTAACATTCACTCTCAAACTGTTCAGAACTAGGTCTGATCACCATGCTGAAATGTTCATTGATGAAACAACTTCCAATCCTTAGGTTTTACCAGTAGCCGCAGATGTGCGTGATCCATCACAAGTGGCAGCTGCTATAGATTTCTGTGAGAACAAGTGTGGTCTCCCTGATATAATCATCAACAATGCAGCAGGGAATTTTGTGTCTCCGACAGAGAGGCTGTCACCAAATGCTTGGAGAACAGTCATTGACATTGTCCTAAATGGCACAGCATATGTAACATTAGACCTAGGAAAGCGTTTGATCAAAGCCCAAAAAGGTATTTTTTTTAACAATTGCATTGTTTCTTTACCAGGGTCAGAATGGACTAAATCTATGTTAAGTAGAAAAATATCTTGGAGACAATATGATAGTTCTTTTACCCCTTTTCTTCCTTGCCCTTCTCCCTTCCTACTCATTCTTTTTTCCCATGCCATTTAGGAACATACCCATGAGCCCTACTTTTGAAAACATTTTTTGATATCAGTTTTTAAATAAATAAAAGCTAAAATCTCCAAATTATACCTATAAGTAGCAATCTGTGAGTGATTTCATAGGGCATGCTTCTATTTTCAGGTGCAAATTTTTTGGCAATCACAACCATCTATGCCAAATCTGGTTCAGGTTTTGTGGTACCATCAGCAGCCTCTAAGGCTGGTGTGGAGACCATGACCAGGTAAGAACATATGACAAAGTAAATTACCCCAAATGGTGGAGCAGTTTTCATTTGATTGTCAATAGCATTGAGGGATTGCATTGGTTCAACTTCAAATCACTTTATGATTGCTTTACAAAACACCCTCTCAACTATAGCCTGCAAGCTTACCCTCAATAAAAGCACTGAAGGATGAGTGTTTTTCCATCAGTGGGAAGATTTGAGATGAGTTAGAGAGAGGTTTTCAAGGGGTCTGGCACTGCTGGACCCCTGATGGACCTCTTCCCTGATTGCATTGCTCAAGGTCTTATAGTTTCCTGCAGGCAAAAAAATACTTGTTCCGAAGTGCTAATAATAAGGGCCCTTATTGTGTAGGCCCTTATCTCAACTTATCACAAACAAAGCTAAAACCTTTGACAACTTGATCTCTTGTGCTTTTCTGTGCCTCAAGCAGTTTGTTTATTTTTACTTGGGTTTTAAATGAATTTTAACCTTTGTTAGATCCCTGGCAGCAGAATGGGGAAGATATGGAATGAGATTCAATGCTATTGCTCCAGGACCCATTGAGACCAAGGTACATGACCTCTGATTCCCATTAGTAACTAGAAAATTGGGGAAGAGAGCTTCTGCCCCTGCTCCAATATCAGCCCCACCCTATTCTAGTTATAAAGTTTTTGTTCCCCTCTCCTGAAGTACTGTAGCCATGATGTTAACTTTCATTACAATTTTTACACTAAATTTTCAATTAGCAGTGTTACCATCACATTTTTTCAAATCTTTAGTTTCCAAAATCAAATAGTTGTCTCCATTTCTTTCACTTTACAACCTTGTACATTAGTGGGTTAAGAGGGGACATATCTAGTTGAGCTATACCACAGACTTAATGTATAATTATTTTTCATGTTAATAATAATAAATATTTGTCTACTGGGAAAAAGTGATACATTTTTGAAGTGTATCTATGTAATTTCAGGGTGCCTTCAGCCGTCTAGATCCCACAGGAGAATTTACAAAGCATGCTATAGAACGCATTCCAACTGGCAGACTCGGTGAAATCCCAGAACTGGCAAACCTAGCAATGTATCTTGTCAGTGACTACTCCAGTTGGATGACAGGAGAAGTATACCTCAACTAGTTTATCTTTGTCACTGTTGTTTGTTTATTCTTGGCCTTAACACACACAGGGTGTCAATTAACAAATGCCACAGAAAATAGGGAAAAGTTCATGTAGAAAATTAGAAATTCTCACCCCTAAAAAGGAAAAAAATAGGAAGCTTTCTTTGAGTTATATCCTCTAAACAACACCAATGACGACTCTGTTCCACAACCCAATGCTTTCTTTAGTAATAGACAATCATGATGGCATGCATCCTTGATGTACTTAAATTCACATGAATATGGTGATATTTCAAATATTTATTAAGCAAAAGTGTTACCAAAATATAGAAACTTGACAATTTGCACAAGCTTTTTGAGGACTTGCCCTGGAGGATAACACATGAAGTTCTGATTCACCTACTGTTATTCAGGATAAACCTCTGATCACTCTCAATAATTTGCATTTTGTGCAGGTTGTAACATTTGATGGAGGAGAGTATGTCTCTATGGCTGGTGAATTCAATGATTTCAGAAAGGTATGTTTATAACCTTAATCACTACATTTGAATATGTAGTATTATCTCTTGCAGGACAGTAGTCCTTAGGCGAGTGTTTTAACCCTTTAGCTCCCAGATCAAATTTTTACTTCTCCCTACTGTCAACCTTACAATTTATATAATATTAGTTCAGAGAATTTAGTGTCAGATCAACTAATTATCCCCAAATTTATATTTTCCTTTATTCTCATCACTGATCTGGTTGATATTGTAACAATATTGTCAGGCAAAATTCTGTCTTGGTCACTCATGGGAGTTAAAGGTTAAGTTCAGTCTGCATAAACTGATCAGTCAGTTCAGGCATGCTGTTTTTGGCTACAAGACTTTGTGCAAGTTGGTCATGATTGGTCATTTTCAATCTGTCAGTATGTTAGGTTATTCTGTTCTGTTTATATGTTGTGTGAATGTTGTGAAGGAGTCGTTTGTATGGTGCTGGTAGTTGTCAACAATTGCCAAGTCAATAGTGTGGTTTGTAAGTCAGCAATCATTAGCAGTGTAATTTTTGACATCACATTTTACATTAACTTTACCTTTTGATTTTTTGTTGTGCTTGCATTTTAGATTCCAAAGGAACAGTGGGACCAATTGGAAGCAATTATCAGGAAAACAAAGGGTTCTTAATACATTCTCTCAATTGTATATTCAAACTCTCCTAATCTGAAATTAACTTTGCTACTGTTTTTCATCTAAGGCAAGAAAGATAGACAAATTTCTTCAGTTTCTTTCATTAAAACAGTTAATATTTGATTGAAGAATAAAAGTTCATGTACTGTCCATTTGTAGTTATTTCAGCATGGTTTGCTTCTGTATCTCTTAATTTTCAAGTCAAAGTAAAGATTTCAAGAATGATCTTAGCTCAAGTATGAAGTTTTGAATGAACTAAAACACAAAGAATTAAAAGAAAAAGGTGTTTTACTGTCTTTTTATTTACATTTACTCTGTAATTAGCACACAAAAAAGACCATATTCCAAAATCTGAGAACACTTCACATTCATTAGCAGGCTAGCAACAAAGTTCAAGAGTAAAAACCACTGAATTCCGATTAAGACTGGTTAGAACTGACACCAGTGATGGGGTTTGCCCTACGCTGTCTTGCTATCTTTTTGGCATCTGCTCTCCACTCCTCTGTAAGGGTACGAGGCCTCTCTGGACCAACTAGTGAAAAACACAAATTACAGGATTATAGTGAGCAAACACATAGTGGAAGTGCATCTGTCACTAAACAGCAGGAAGTAACAACACCAACACAATTTAGAATGAAGATTTCCTTTGCTTAGGATCAAAAGAGAGATCAAACAGGCAAATCAATTTGCAAATTTGAATGTTTCAAAATTACTTCATACAATTAGGTAGTTTCAGCAAGTTTGCATCGAAACTCGTGCCACTGTAGACTGATAAAAAGGAAAAGCCTGAGAACTATAGTGATATGTGGGTAGATCATTCAGATGAGGTATTTCAGATTGGTATCTTCTTATGAAGATGTGAACATCATCCCTGAGTATACATGTAGACCTTACTCATTGTGATGCAGACAATTATTATCTTTTTATGTTAAAACAAAAAACACTTCTTGGCCTTGCCTAAGTACAAATTCTTTTTTTTTAAAAACAAGTTGTAAAGGCCAGGAAGGTAAAATTACAGGAACATAAAATATAAAAATTAGGCCCACAATTTACCAAAGAGTTTAATATAAATGAAATGACTATGTCACAACTTTTTCTCACACTTTTTAACCTTTTCTCTTAAACTGAGGATTGGAAATACACTTCAGATAAAAAAAAAACAGTTTTCCAAGACAAAATATCATTAATTGTGACCACATGCTATTCATCTCAATGACAAATGAAAATACACAATCAGTATCCCAATAAATTGCTAAGAGTGCACTTACCATATTTTTTTAGAAATGCAAAAAGACCAACTGAAACAGCCATCAAAATAGAGAGCAATCCAATCATCTTCTTTACATAAGGCTCCTCTGTCTTCTCCTCTGCTATAGTTTTAGGAAACTGAGCTTTGTACACTAGAAATGCAAAAGAGCAAGTGGATAAATCTTTGTGAACAGTTACTGCCTTCCTCCTTAATATCACACACTTTCAAAGCAAAAGTTAAAGACTAAGAAAAATCAAATAGTTATTACACGAAATTAAAACTATTCATGTGTATGCAATGAGCCACAGTTTCTGAAAGACTGATTCCAGAGGGATGTTGTTATAGCAGTATAATACTTGAAAATCAAGAGCTTTCAGCTCGTGAAACATTAAAATTTTTTACCCTCTTCCAAATCACAAGTACGTTGCATAAAAGAAAACCAAGACAATTAAGGCGCAAAATTTGATTTAACAAACAAAAAAACCTTAAATGCTTAAGATCTCGTATAGTCTACAATTACAGTCTTAAGTAATCAGTGCAAGTGTAATAGTTCAGTTCCTTTCAATCACACCAATATTAAAACTTTGTGTACTTTCACCACAACTAGCCCATATCACTAGTTTGGACCAAGAATATCATTTCAACCTTTCCACACTCCTACTGTGGTTGTCCCGTCAAACCGTTGCCACATATATATATATATATCAATGTAGAACGCTCAGTTAAACGACTACAATTATGACTCGAGATTCAACGGCAAAATCACATTCTTGAACCCTTTGGAATTAACTCATATCAAAATACAGTCGCCACTACTGTTTCTCTTTCACTTCATTGCCAGAGAAGATATGCACTTGCTTTCAACCCACTCGCGTTAATCTCCAACCTTCAGTGTAGCAAGTGAATCAATACGACGTACATGTACAAATTAACTCCTACCGAAAGTAGGCTTACTATGAACTAAAAATGTTAAAAGAACTCGACTGCTGATATTTAAAGTGATCTCAAATTATTCTGAGTGAAAATAAAAAAATGTATATCAGTAAACGCGGTTAAATAAAGTAACTCACAATCGATTTTCTCCTGTATTGTGAGCTCGGTCCACGGACCCTGTTCCTTGGCTTGCAGCGCGGCTAGTTCAGACCCGTACTCTGGTCTGATCTTTGGAACTGGATAATATTTACGGGCTGCTGACGTCTGGATTGATCTACAGGCAACTCTAGCGTACATTCGAGGTAAAGCACCCATTCTCAATAAACTCGCCATGATAAGAAAGATCCGTGAATCGAAATCCGGCAAGATGGCGGAATGCTAAATGTTCATCCGTAGCACGCAATGAGATGTGGGTAGTGATAGAAAGGTACGTCATATAAAAACAAACGAACAACGGATTACCATTTCAGGTTCTTTTGGGGTGTATGCGACAGTTTAAGGCCCCTTGCTTTCCCCGTGCGTTTTATCACGCAGTTTTTCCAGAGATGCACGGGCATTCGACCATTTTCCAAACACCACCGCCATTTCGCTAAGAATTACTTCAAGTTTTCCATTACCTATATTCCACATTAAAATAAAATTTTGAGTTTCCAAAATCAAAATTTGACAATCAAGACTCTCATATCAGTTTAGATACACTTAGTAAATTTCTTGCACGCAGTCATAAAAAACTTAAAATATGAAGGGAAAATGCATTAATGTATCACAATGGACACCTCTTGTTCAGTTAATTTAGAAAATGATCACTTCTATTTTTTGCAGATAATTCAACAGTTTTCATTAGCACAAAATCTTAACATCAGCTTTGCTTGAAGTTTCCTTTTAAATACATAACACATCTCTATTCTTGAGAGTAATTCAGTAAAATGGTGAGAAGAAACATGCCAAAATACCAGAGGAGGACTAAAAGAAATCTGATGTAAAGCATTGCATTGAAAGTTTGATGAGTAGCAAAGGGTTTTGCAGCAACAAAAGTGGAGGGGTCAAGTTGTGAACATGTTTACAACAAAAAAGTAAAAGTTACTTTGTACTGAATGTTTAAACTTTCTTTACACATTTGTCATACTGAAGACACAAACATTAAAATCAGATTCTGATTCATCTGTGGAGAAAGTAATCTCTAAGAGATGTCATATTGGAAGCCAGTCATGGGTTGGTATATCAAGATGAAGCTCCATATCTGGTGTGCACCTGGAGAAAAATGAAAATAAATCATTACTTTACAACAGCACCCATGGGTATGGTCAAAGAGACAAAATAAAAATATCAATTAAAGGAAGTTAGTTAGAACCACTTAGACTTTGGATGGCACCTTCATATTTGTTATTGTCATTATGATCATCATCATCATCATTATTCTCATAATCATTGTTATTATGCCTAATATAAAAGTCTTTTAGACCAAGCCATTTGGGTATAAAACTGCCTTCAATTTTAAATGATTGAAAGCTCCTGAACAGAATGAAGGGTTAACAAAAGATACTTCACAGAAATTACTAACTTCTCCCGTTTTCCAAACACTTCTGGGAATATCTCAGCTTGTGTGTCTAAGGCTTCACTATCTAAGAGTTTCCTGTTGGGATAGCAAATACATGAAATTCTGTCAGCAAAATGAAATTGCAAGAGATGTCCAGTTCACTTTTCAACACATTATCACCAGAACAGGCTAAGGGTCATGTGGAATAGGTTTCCTACCTAATTTCAGCTTCCAACTTTGCATTGTTCATTTCCAGGGATTTTAGCTCATCTTTATGCATTTCAACTTCCTTTAAGATAAAGAACACAAAATCAACATAAGTGGAAGCATTTTAATTAAATTCAGTAAAAATCAAACAAGTAAAGCCATAAGTAAGTTACCTTTTTCATGATCATATTTTGTAAAGCCATTTCTTTAATATCATCTCCCATAGCATTTATTGTATCCTAACATGAAAGAGCATATTAAAGACTGTTACAGGGCTCATATGCTTTTTTCATATGCAAAAGTCTGACGATCAACTATTTTCACTTTGCAGATACATATGTACATGTTGTCAAGGTCTTTCATGACCAATCCATTGCTCCTTAAGCCTTTAAATTTGCCATTGGCTTGAAAAATATGCAAAAACAAAAATCATGATTGAAAAAAAAAAAACAAAAGCACAATAAAACAATAAAATAAAACTATGATACCCTGCAAACACCATGCAACAAGAGGCAACTCTTTACAAAACTTCTACTGTCAGTTTTTTCTGTTGTCACCTACTCTTAACCTACCCCACCACCCCCCAGAGAATCCTCATCACCAGTCTCCTTGATACTTAGCCAGTAATGCTGAACAGTGAATTTCTTGTATAAATGTACCTCTGTTACTTGTGTCGTTATTTCTTGTTGGACAGTTATTCTTTGTTGACTGAATTTATCTCTCTCTGCATCAACCACAACTTGTAATTCTTCTAGTTCCTCCTGGTAAAATGAAATCAAGAAAAGTCATGAGAAAAAAAAAACATTTAAAGCTCAAAGTGAATGTCACTGTAGTCCATAAATCTATTTAAAATAATTATTTTTACCAGCACTAAATACATCAGAATTTCTCTTGTTTTGAGAATGATTGTATTACTAACTGGAAACATCATTCTTTTCAGTAACCAAGATTAAAATTTAACACCTCACTCCATCATAGCACAAAACCATTAAGTCTACCTCCAAATCCTACTAGCAGTTTAGAAGATGTTTGTCAAATGAACCAGTAATTCAATGGCCTAACTACAATGAGTGGCTCTAATTCTCTGGGTACACATTTTGTAAAAATTATTACTTCTGATATCATATAATAAAGTATAACAAGATGTTGAAGGTCTCGTAAGGAACCAATGCTAACCTTAAATGTTGACTCTAAAATTTCCCTTTGTCTTTTCAGTTTGGCTATTTGGAGTGCCTTTGCAGGATATTCTTTATCCTAACATAAGATACACAAAGAAAACAACAAATAAAAAGCATAACCAAGATTTCAATTTCCATAACATTTCACAATACTAAGTTTAACAATATGGGGATTCAATAGTGTAGTGTGATTGTCAAGGTAAAGGTGACTCTGAAAAGGACTGCAAACCAACATATCAAAAACATTGTGAGCTTGAGTGTGGTTAAAGCCCCTGGTGCTGTGCATTCCCATCAGGAAGAAGTCCATGAATTTGAACCCTCAACAATTAAGACAACAACTTCACATTGGGAGGAATCTCTTTCATTCTCTCCACCCCACCCCCCTTCCCTTTTACTCTCATAAGTTTAGTCTGCCTTGTTCACTAAGTAACCATGATTGGAAAATTTAGAAAGCTCTCTACCCTTGATTTTCTTGTAATAAAACATCTTTCAGCCACCTCAATTTTTAACACAATTCAAAACCCTGTGGTCTCTGGTACACCCTCCATGTATGAAATACCATTCAGTCTTTCTCTTACATTCTGTTGCAGTGCCTCACTTCCTCATATTTTCAACTTACCTTATAGTTTAACAGTATGTTCATTTCTTCCCTCTTTTTTAGCAACTTTTTGTCCATTACATTCAGTTGGTGCTGTAACTCTAATCAGGTAAATGATAAATAAATGAAAGTAAACAATGAAACTCACTTAGGGAGATGAATACAGTAGTGCTGTCCATAGAATGACTTCACCCTCAAGGTAAATTGTGAAGTTCAGGAAAAAAGTTTTAGAGGCTAACTTTTTGCTGAACAAACTTCACTAATTGATAACAATAGCTTATAATTCTCAAGAATAGTTTCACACTCACAACAGAAATGTTTCATAGACCATTGAGGTAGAGAAAGTAATAGTTTTACTTAATGTACCTGCTACTTCTTTGTCGACTAATTCTTTTGTTTCTTCCAGTTTCTTCTTTGTTATAACAAGGTTTTTATCAAATTTCTTATTTAAAGTTGACATGGCACCCTGTCAAAGAAATGATAACTTAATCATTCAATTACAAATCAAATGCTGAAAAAAAGGAAAAGACTTGTTCCACAACTACAGAACAACCTAAGCAAACAGAGTTTTCTTTAGGTTTTAAGTATGTTGGTGTTGCTGTTAAATTAACAATTGGTTATGTACATCAGCATGCATTCATCGAAATATGAAGCACGCAGGAAATTTGGAGAGCACGAAAGATGCATAAGAGTTGCTCGAGGCGTAGCTGAGAGCAACTCTAACTTCTTGCGTGCTCTCCAAACTTCCCAAGTGCTTCATATCTCGATGAACACACAGCTGGTGTATGAACCAATTGTTTTATAACATTTTCAACCTAATGGAAAATTTTTTTTAGGAATATGAAGCACACTCACACAATTGAATTTGATTAAACAAATTTACTAGGTATGTTATAAAATACTTTGTTGGGTAAGTTTTACATTTAATATATCACGCTTTCCAGATACTCCTTCACTTTTTCATCTCCAAGATCTTAACCATGAGTAATTCTCCTTACTTTCCACCATACAATTCTTATAATGTTGGTTTGGAGAATTGGGTATTGGTTCAACTACTGTAATAATCCTATAATTGATATTTTTCTTTATTCTCATTACTTGTCTGCTTGATAGAGAGACATTTTGTCCCAGTGATCTTGGTCACTCATGGAAGTTCAAATGTTAAGCCAATAGTTATACTAGCATTAAATACAACATGTTATATGGTAAAGATTACTATCAACTAGCTTTTACATACAATCTTCCTAGCCAAAGCCTGACTAAAACATTTCAAATCAAATTTCAGGTAAATGTAGCTTACCCTGAATCTTTCATATTTCCTAAGTAAAGACTTCACATCTCCATGCTAAAAAAATTAAATAACAGTAGGCTATACATTAAAAGCTCTGGTTGAGATTAAACCTTTTGATAGGCAAAAATGATTTTCTATACTATCAGGAGTAATGACAAAAGTAGCAAAACAAGAATGTAAGAAGATACAGTTGCAGTTTAACTCACAATCCTGTTCTCCGATGATTCAATCTCATCAGTGATCTTCATGTTTTCAATAAGTCTGGTAAAACAGTTAAGGAGGTCACTCACATGTTCATACAATACAAGAAAGGGGGTCTTACACAAGAGCACAAGATAGTTACCTCAGCTGGGACTTAGACCAGTACCTTTCAATCTGGAGTTGAGCAGATCAACAGAAAGGCCACCATGTTTCCCCATCATACCCCTGGTGTTCATATATCTGCAGTAATATTCAACCCTTTGATCCCTGAGAGTGACTAGCATTTAATTTCTCCTTACAATATTGACCTCTGAGTCCCAAATTACAGTCACAAAAAGAAAGGAAATGATTACCAACTAAATAAGCTCATTACTTTTATATACAAACCAAATTTCTATGTCAGCACCTCAGAAAAAAAGAGAAAAATATGGAGAATATGCATGTCAGGGCATAAAGGATTAGTTCTCTCCAGTGACAAGACTCCACCACTGCTTGTTACTTGCATATGAAGATATAAATACCCCTCCAAAATAAGGGCACACAAGATACTCAGAGAGAGAGATGATACTAACAAAGAAGGTTTTACCAAAACAAAATATCAAAATCCTCAAAAGATACAGGTCTTTCTTTCTGTTTTCATACTCAGCTATTGATTTCTGTCTTGTTTTAATTTGAATCTGGAGAAAGAATAGTGCACTCTTTAGTAACCTTTCCCTGAGATATTAGCCAGAGGTATGTCTTTAACCTGCCTACTGTAATCTGTAAAGTTTGTTTGAAAGTTTGCCAGTACCATTAAATCTAATATTTGTGAATAAAGAAAGACTGTGTGTCTCTCAAAGCACAACATAAGAATCACATTTTAGATCTAGATTACCTTTACTAAACCACACACCATTGAGAAATAAATATTATTATACATGAAGTCTTTATTTTTATATATTTATTTGTCTTTCTTGCAATCTGTTTGCTCTGGAATTATTTGAGTTGAGTCAATAAATTTGAGGATATAAACATGATGGAAAACAGAGTGAAAGAGAAATAAGGGCAAACAAAGGGAGATACTGTAACTAGCAAAAAATCTCAAAAAAGAAAAAAACTAAGACTCCTGTGTTCTACCCCACTCTTTTTCACCCTGTGTGGAAATATGCAAAGAGGATGAAACTTCTTTTTATTGTATTGATGTTGTTGAATTAATAGTAAATTGTGCTATAATAATAACTACTAGAGCAAAACAAGTGCAAACTTGTTTCCTGTCCTACCTTCACCTAGTCTTTATGGAAATATGTTGATGATATTGATCAAATGTTCTTAACTTTGTTGTTGTTGTTGTTGTTGTTTTTGTTGTGGTTTTTGCTGTTGTTTTTGTTGTTGTTGTTGTTGTTTGACTTTCTTACAGCTAAGCATCAACTTTACATGCACTGAAACTGTCACTCTTAGCCCTAGAGTAATGTTCAAGCTTAGTACATTTTGTAACCAGGTCATTGCACCTATCAGGAAATACCTTTAATATAGACAACACATTTTCCTTCTTCTTCTCCTCAGCATCGTCAACAACTGGGGGTTTTTTCGTCCATGGGTGATTGCAAACCGTGGAACAAGCCGTACTCGTAGCTGCACTAAATGGCCGTGGTCCTATTTTTATTGTTTTTTCTCGTGAAAATCCAGGAGCACTTCCAAGAGATACCACAGTCTGCCCTGACAAAGGACGACTGGCACTTTTTCTCCTGGTCTGTCCTTCGTTCTGAAATCTTGACTGAGTAGTGCGTTGCCATGGTTTATAATCACCAAAATTGACGGCAATTTTTCCTTCCAAAGTTTTAAGAAGGGGGTCGTTCTTGAACTGGTCCTTCGTGTCGAGTCTCTGAGCTGCTTGCTTACCCCATCCTCTGGAAAGCGTGGTTTGCCCGCTCTTTTGAGAATCGCTTCGAGTTGTACGATGTGTCCTGAATCCTTCTGCGGTCGCCATGTTTATAGTGTCTACCGACATGCACCAGGAAAAAGATAATTGAAGATTGTTACACAACATACTTCATATAACCATCCAAAATGGAGGAGGGTCTCGTGATATTAGTTTTCCTGTTTGGCTTGCAAATTGCTTCTGGAAAACCACCGCACATAGTGTTCATTCTGGCCGATGATTATGGCTTTAATGATATCGGTTACCACAATCCACGCATAAAAACTCCCTTTCTCGACAGTTTGGCAACCAATGGAGTGCGCTTGGAGAACTATTACGTGCAACCAATTTGTACGCCAACTCGAAGTCAGCTCTTTTCCGGCAGGTATCAAATTCACACCGGCCTACAACACGGAATAATCTGGCCTTCTCAGGCGAATGCATTGCCTAAAAATGACACTACGATCGCAAGTAAGCTGAAAGAGAGTGGCTACAGTACACACATGATCGGAAAATGGCATATTGGATTCTACAAGAGAGAGTTCATTCCAACTCAGAGGGGTTTCGATTCTTTTTTCGGTTACTTGACAGGTGGAGAAGATTACTATACTCATGATGATCCCATTGGATATCCATCAAAAGGATACAGTGGTCTGAACGGGTACGACATGCGGAGAAATGAAGAAGTTGCTACTGATGTCGCCGGGAACTATTCAACATTCTTGTTCACAAATGAAGCAGTTGAGATAATTTCTTCTCACGATCCAGAAACACCTTTGTTCCTTTTCGTCGCATATCAAGCTGTTCACTCACCCTTACAGGTACCTGAACAGTACACAGAGATATACAAAGATATAAAAAACCCTGCTCGCCGCACGTATGCAGGCATGGTTACCTGTATGGATGAAGGGATTGGCAACATAACAGTGGCCCTACAGAAACATGGCCTGTGGGATGACACCGTCCTTTTCTTCAGTACAGACAATGGTGGACAGATATATGCAGCCGGTAACAACTATCCTCTGCGAGGATGGAAAGGGTCGCTATGGGAGGGCGGGATGAGGGGTATAGGTCTTGTGCACAGCAAACTGTTAGCAAAACCTGGACAGATAAATTCAGAACTGATCCATGTCACTGACTGGTTTCCAACAATTGTCCATCTATCAGGAGGTTCTGTTGAGGATCTACCTCTTGATGGTTACAATGTGTGGGAAACATTGAGTAATGGAGAACCTTCACCAAGGAAGGAAATCTTGCACAATATCGACCCCATTGATGCTTACTGGGACTCTCACTTTGAGCCATATAAACACTGTCGACAAGCTGCCATACGAGTTGGTGATTGGAAGCTTTTAACAGGATGTCCAGGGAATGGAAGTTGGCTTCCACCACCAGAGAGTTCTTATCCCATCGAGTATGCACCAAATTATTTTGATAATATAAACAGTACCTTTCTTTTCAATATAAGAGAGGATCCAGAAGAAAGAAATGAACTGTCAAAGGTATATCCAGAGATGGTGAATAATTTGATGCGCAGGCTTAAGGAATACAATGCCACAGCTGTACCAGTGCGTTACCCAAAACCAGATCCAGCATCATTACCAGAGTTGCATGGTAATGTATGGGCTCCCTGGGAGCTGTAAAAAGACAAATTTTCCTAAGGCTCAGCTAGGTTTAAATGTGTTTTAAACACTGACTTCTTGCATCATCCCTTTTACCTAAGTCATTAGTATTAGAGCAATTTTCATTTGAAAGTGGAAAGTAATCACAGATTGGGTCAGTTTTTCATCACTTTGCTATACCAGTCTTTCAATCAATCAAATTCACAAAGGAAGACAGTTGTGATTGGTTACTTGTGCATTTTTCTGTGCACCAGGTAATTTATTTTTTTTACTCTGAATTCTCATTGGTAATGGAATTTTTGTTTCTAAATGTTGTTGCTTTTATATGCTAATTTTTATGGTAAAAAAAAGTATAAATCAGTATTATAAAATAAGTCTTACCTTCAAGTTATTTTTTTGTTACTAGCTGAATTTAGGTCGTAGAAAGAACTACTTTTTCATTCACTTTCCAAGTCACCATAGGCATGGCAGTATAATCCAAGTTTAAAAGCCTTATGAGAGGTTTTGTAACGAATAATAAGAATTTTTTAAATAACATTAGTGCTAATGAATCACCTTAGGTGTATAATGTAATTATTTAGAGGTGATATTTTAAATAAGTGAAAAATAAAGTTTTAACTTCATATGAACTTATAGGTGTGATAAGATGGTTTTTAACTTTCAAATTACACTTACAACTCCTCACCTACCTTTGGAAGACCATAGGTAACCTAAGCTCAAGATACTTTTTGTACAAAAACAAAAGTTGTGTAAGTTTTTATGAAGGAAGAAACAGGGTATGAAGGGTAGTGGCATTTCTGTTTGAGAAAACCAATTTTTTAGAAAAAGGAGAAACGTTTCGTCTCATAAATCAATCAATTGCCGTTGGAAATAATCACGGAAATTGTTAATTTTCTCATTCTTTTCAAGAGGGGTGTTTTAGGCGTTCTCTCAGAGCGTACGAGAAGACACCTGTCTGCGATCCTTTACTCGACCCAGTTTCCCAAGATTTTCTAGTCTTCGATGCATGTTGGGAAATGCTAATTTGTGTTTTGTGACCGTCCAACCTCCGGTAAGTGTTCTGTGTACTTTGCCAATATGTTAGTGAAATCATGGCGAAGCACATAACGATTTGGCTGCAGTATGGGCACTTACGTTCAGCTAAAGCAGGAGGACTACTCTGAGGAGGATAGTGATGTAGGGATGATGTCCACTGTAATTTCGTCGGGCAAGGCTTCCTCGCTATCGGTCGAGGAAGTTTTAAAACAATTTCGGAGTGATCCGTTACTTGGTTTGAACAACGATGAAGTTGAGAGAAGGAGAAAGCTTCACGGGCTAAATGAATTCGATGCGGTTGAGGATACCCCGCTTTGGAGGAAGTACATAGATCAGGTATGGAGTTTGCTCTACATGTTAGACAGATGATTTACTAATCATGTCGCCACTACAGAAATATTTACCCAAAAAGCCTTGAAAGGAAACAGCGAATAAAGTGGAAGTTACAAGCTATCGGTATAAATTCGAGGAGATTTCCTGTGTTTATGGTTTAAAATTAGCATTTCTGTATGTGTGGCTTTTCAAATCGAAGTTATGGAGAATAAGTTGTAGAATTTGCAATTCAGTGTGGTGCGAATTTTCGTGGTGACATTAAATTATGTAAGCTGAACATGCATTTTAACCTGTTAGAAGTTAGTTTTATTTTACAAAAGTTTACTGTTATTTACTCTGTGAGTTTCATTGTTAAGTCACATAACGAGTTTCTATTCCCATATGCTGGTACTGTTTGAATCTAGTATAATAAATTTACTTGAAAGCATTCGTGTTTGTTTAGCCAGTTTTATGCAACTGAGCTTTCTTCTGGGTAATATTCATGATCATGAGTGGCAGTTCTAATAATGTTGGAGCCTGAAGATGATTACAAGAACAAATCCGCGCTAGAAAAACTTTTTTCGAATGATAATTGTACTGTTTAGGCTATTGATAACGTGTTTACGATTTACACGTACAAGTACGTTTGCATACTGATTTTAAAAAATCTCAATTAACGAAACTTTTCTCAAGCACGGTTCCCAATAAAATAACACTAGTAATTTTCTTGCTAATATTCTAAACCACAGCATGGAAATTCTGGGAATTAAAATTTGCACTTCAGTTGGAAAAAGCTATTGTCTAAAGGGCTTTCATTTTAAAGCTCTTTGTATGGCATAATGTCAATTTTTTATTGTCCAATGAACGATTTCATTCTGTTCATGATGCATCTAAGAAAAATGTAAAGAAACGATAAAATATCTTTTTTATCTATCTGATTATTTTATGGAATGAATTCTAACCCAGCCTTTCCATAGCTCCCAGTGTCAATTTTAACATCATGATGTTTTAAAAAATGCCAAATTGGTTGAGGTGAAGCCATGGTTACTGTAGAAATCTTCCAAACCTGATTGTTAAATTTTTTTCTTGATTAGCTCTGTAGAATGTCTCTTTCTATTACTCAACAATGACTCTTCTTTCATCATAATTTTACTGTTGGTATGGAAAGCTTCTTAAGCATTCAGCTGTATGCTGTGTCATCTTTGAAATTGGAAAAAGCACACAGTCCAACTATTATATTAATTAACATGTCAGAGTACATGAGAATCAGCTGTGGCTTTGTTTATTTTTTTACTTGGTATTCCTTTTTTGAGTGATATACAAACTGGTGATGTGTGAAAAAATAATAGTTTTTATGTAAACTCCAAAGTGCTTTACAGTATCTTGTTGTGGTATACTGAAAGTTAAAAGCATCACTTACAGGTCTTTGAATTAGAAAATCTCTCACTCAGAGATAATTACAAATTTCGAAGAAAATAATAAAAACTTGGTCTCTTGGTACTAGTGCTTTTTCATAAGGAATAACAAAAATTTTTTGCTTATTTTGAGGAGTGTCTTTTTTATTCACTGGTGTGAAAAATGGTTAGATATTAGCTGTTTTTGAACCTTGAGGAAACCCAACATTTAGCACTAGAGTTAGTTTGATACAGGCAGAGAGAGAATTGAATTTCATTATGAAATGAGAATTGTTATATAACTAAGGATCTTATTGTTTTGAGAAATAATGGTTTGGTTAAGAGGAAATTTTCTTTTTTTGTCACTGCCAATCTCTAATATGATCAAATTTTTTATTTCAGTTCAAAGAGCCCATGATAATATTGCTTCTAGCATCAGGGCTGGTTAGTGTAATAATGGGACAATATGATGATGCTGTCAGTATAACAGTGGTAAGAAAGTTTGATTATTAATATTATGTATTCATAATAGTGGTGTTTCACATG